TCATGATGACGCTCGACACACACTCGTCATGATGATGACGCTCGACACACACTCGTTTATGATGACGCTCGACACACACTCGTTCATGATGACGCTCGACACACACTCGTTCATGATGACGCTCGACACACACTCGTTCATGATGACGCTCGACACACACTCGTTTATGATGACGCTCGACACACACTCGTTCATGATGACGCTCGACACACACTCGTTCATGATGACGCTCGACACGACACACTCGTTCATGATGACGCTCGACACACACTCGTTCATGATGACGCTCGACACACACTCGTTCATGATGACGCTCGACACACACTCGTTCATGATGACGCTGACACACACTCGTTTATGATGACGCTCGACACACACTCGTTCATGAGACGCTCGACACACACTCGCTCATGATGACGCTCGACACACACTCATTCATGATGACGCTCGACACACACTCGCTCATGATGACGCTCGACACACACTCGTTTATGATGACGCTCGACACACACTCGTTCATGATGACGCTCGACACACACTCGTTCATGAATGGACGCTCGACACACACTCGCTCATGATGACGCTCGACACACACTCGTTATGATGACGCTCGACACACACTCGTTCATGATGACGCTCGACCACACTCGTTATGATGACGCTCGAAGCGACACACTCGTTCATGATGACGCTCGACACACACTCGCTCATGATGACGCTCGACACCACACTCGTTCATGATGACGCTCGACACACACTCGCTCATGATGACGCTCGACACCACTCGTCATGATTACGCTCGACACACACTCGTTATGATGACGCTCGACACACACTCGTTCATGATGACGCTCGAACACACATCGTTCATGATGACGCTCGACACACACTCGATCATGATGACGCTCGACACACACTCGTTCATGATGACGCTCGACACACACTCGCTCATGATGACGCTCGACACACACTCGATTATGATGACGCTCGGACACACACTCGTTCATGATGACGCTCGACACACACTCGTTCATGATGACGCTCGACACACACTCGTTCATGATGACGCTCGACACACACTCGTTCATGATGACGCTCGACACACACTCGTTCATGATGACGCTCGACACACACTCGTTTATGATGACGCTCGACACACACTCGTTCATGATGACGCTCGACACACACTCGTTCATGATGACGCTCGACACACACTCGCTCATGATGACGCTCGACACACACTCGCTCATGATGACGCACGACACACACTCGTTCATGATGACGCTCGACACACACTCGTTCATGATGACGCTCGACACACACTCGTTCATGATGACGCTCGACACACACACTCGTTCATGATGACGCTCGACACACACTCGTTCATGATGACGCTCGACACACACTCGTTCATGATGACGCTCGACACACACTCGTTCATGATGACGCTCGACACACACTCGTTCATGATGACGCTCGACACACTCGTTCATGATGACGCTCGACACACACTCGTTCATGATGACGCTCGACACACACTCGTTCATGATGACGCTCGACACACACTCGTTCATGATGACGCTCGACACACACTCGCTCATGATGACGCTCGACACACACTCGTTATGATGACGCTCGACACACACTCGTTCATGATGACGCTCGACACACACTCGTTCATGATGACGCTCGACACACACTCGTTCATGATGACGCTCGACACACACTCGTTCATGATGACGCTCGACACACACTCGTTCATGATGACGCTCGACACACACTCGTTCATGATGACGCTCGACACACACTCGTTCATGATGACGCTCGACACACACTCGCTCATGATGACGCTCGACACACACTCGTTCATGATGACGCTCGACACACACTCGTTCATGATGACGCTCGACACACACTCGTTCATGATGACGCTCGACACACACTCGCTCATGATGACGCTCGACACACACTCGTTTATGATGACGCTCGACACACACTCGTTCATGATGACGCTCGACACACACTCGTTCATGATGACGCTCGACACACACTCGTTCATGATGACGCTCGACACACACTCGTTCATGATGACGCTCGACACACACTCGTTCATGATGACGCTCGACACACACTCGTTCATGATGACGCTCGACACACACTCGTTCATGATGACGCTCGACACACACTCGCTCATGATGACGCTCGACACACACTCGCTCATGATGACGCTCGACACACACTCGTTCATGATGACGCTCGACACACAACCTCGTTCATGATGACGCTCGACACACACTCGCTCATGATGACGCTCGACACACACTCGTTCATGATGACGCTCGACACACACTCGCTCATGATGACGCTCGACACACACTCGTTTATGATGACGCTCGACACACACTCGTTCATGATGACGCTCGACACACACTCGCTCATGATGACGCTCGACACACACTCGCTCATGATGACGCTCGACACACACTCGTTTATGATGACGCTCGACACACACTCGTTCATGATGACGCTCGACACACACTCGTTCATGATGACGCTCGACAACACACTCGTTCATGATGACGCTCGACACACACTCGTTCATGATGACGCTCGACACACACTCGTTCATGATGACGCTCGACACACACTCGTTCATGATGACGCTCGACACACACTCGTCATGATGACGCTCGACACACACTCGCTCATGATGACGCTCGACACACACTCGCTCATGATGACGCTCGACACACCCTCGTTCATGATGACGCTCGACACACACTCGTTCATGATGACGCTCGACACACACTCGCTCATGATGACGCTCGACACACACTCGTTCATGATGACGCTCGACACACACTCGCTCATGATGACGCTCGACACACACTCGTTCATGATGACGCTCGACACACACTCGTTCATGATGACGCTCGACACACACTCGTTCATGATGACGCTCGACACACACTCGTTCATGATGACGCTCGACACACACTCGTTCATGATGACGCTCGACACACACTCGTTCATGATGACGCTCGACACACACTCGTTCATGATGACGCTCGACACACACTCGCTCATGATGACGCTCGACACACACTCGTTCATGATGACGCTCGACACACACTCGTTCATGATGACGCTCGACACACACTCGTTCATGATGACGCTCGACACACACTCGTTCATGATGACGCTCGACACACACTCGTTCATGATGACGCTCGACACACACTCGTTCATGATGACGCTCGACACACACTCGCTCATGATGACGCTCGACACACACTCGTTCATGATGACGCTCGACACACACTCGCTCATGATGACGCTCGACACACACTCGCTCATGATGACGCTCGACACACACTCGTTCATGATGACGCTCGACACACACTCGTTCATGATGACGCTCGACACACACTCGCTCATGATGACGCTCGACACACACTCGTTCATGATGACGCTCGACACACACTCGTTCATGATGACGCTCGACACACACTCGTTTATGATGACGCTCGACACACACTCGTTTCATGATGACGCTCGACACACACTCGTTCATGATGACGCTCGACACACACTCGTTCATGATGACGCTCGACACACACTCGCTCATGATGACGCTCGACACACACTCGCTCATGATGACGCTCAACACACCACTCGTTTATGATGACGCTCGACACACACTCGTTTATGATGACGCTCGACACACACTCGTTCATGATGACGCTCGACACACACTCGTTCATGATGACGCTCGACACACACTCGTTCATGATGACGCTCGACACACACTCGTTTATGATGACGCTCGACACACACTCGTTTATGATGACGCTCGACACACACTCGTTTATGATGACGCTCGACACACACTCGCTCATGATGACGCTCGACACACACTCGCTCATGATGACGCTCGACACACACTCGTTTATGATGACGCTCGACACACACTCGTTTATGATGACGCTCGACACACACTCGTTTATGATGACGCTCGACACACACTCGTTTATGATGACGCTCGACACACACTCGTTCATGATGACGCTCGACACACACTCGTTCATGATGACGCTCGACACACTCGTTCATGATGACGCTCGACACACACTCGCTCATGATGACGCTCGACACACACTCGTTCATGATGACGCTCGACACACACTCGTTCATGATGACGCTCGACACACACTCGTTCATGATGACGCTCGACACACACTCGTTCATGATGACGCTCGACACACACTCTCGTTCATGATGACGCTCGACACACACTCGCTCATGATGACGCTCGACACACACTTCGCTCATGATGACGCTCGACACACACTCGCTCATGATGACGCTCGACACACACTCGCTCATGATGACGCTCGACACACACTCGTTCATGATGACGCTCGACACACACTCGCTTATGATGACGCTCGACACACACTCGTTCATGATGACGCTCGACACACTCGCTCATGATGACGCTCGACACACACTCGTTCATGATGACGCTCGACACACACTCGCTCATGATGACGCTCGACACACACTCGTTCATGATGACGCTCGACACACACTCGTTCATGATGACGCTCGACACACACTCGTTCATGATGACGCTCGACACACACTCGCTCATGATGACGCTCGACACACACTCGCTCATGATGACGCTCGACACACACTCGTTCATGATGACGCTCGACACACACTCGTTCATGATGACGCTCGACACACACTCGTTCATGATGACGCTCGACGCACACTCGTTCATGATGACGCTCGACTCACACTCGTTCATGATGACGCTCGACACACACTCGTTTATGATGACGCTCGACACACACTCGTTTATGATGGAGGGAAAACAGGCCCGATTGCAGAGACTTACAGTTTATTACTGATATTTGATGGAAATTATTGTTAAAGATGAAGTGTGTTGTGTTGTTCTGCAGTGTGTGTGGGGCTGCAGGAGTGTAAAGATG